TCCGTAAACAAATGATTTGCAAGTACAATCCCAGCAGCTTGGACGCGCCATTGCGATTTTCCAAACAATGCTTGAGTGCAGTGCGATAAATCGATCATGCCCTGTAACTTAACGTCGAAATTGGCCGAAATATTCAAGGTTTTGAATTGATATCCAGTTTTCTACGGCTAATATAGCTTGTCATCATTGCCATGAACACTTTTAGGCAGCCTGGCGGATTCGGTAAGTGCAACCTATCTGTCGTTTTGAGTTTTTTCTACGTAGTGGTTGTGCAGAACCGTTTCACGCCACCCGAGTGTGGAACGAAATCGTTCGCGAACTGAAAATGCGAGTTCCGAGTGTGACCAATGGCCAGAAGTACAATAATGGTCGGCAGAAAATCTTTCGTGGAACCGACGCCGTGCAGACCCTAAGCACGTACCTGTCGGAAAACCGCGGCGTCCTTGGTATCAAGGAAGTAAACGAGTCAAAGGTGCTGAAGGTAGCGCTTCGTTTTAACAGCCGTTACTTCGTCTAGTTTTTACTTTGTCACGTAGCTGTGTCAAATCCTCATGAACGACCGCATAATCGAACCAATCAGGGGTGGCAGCACGTCGTCATCGTCGTCGTCATCGCAGATGAGACTCGACTTCGATGCTACCGACTCGGCACTGTATCGTTTCGGCGAAAGGTAACTAGCTTGTGTTGCATTATCTATTGAAGTGTACAAAATGTAGTAACGTGTTTTGTAAACGTTGAAAGTCATTTGTGGTCAACTGAACTTCACTTGACAGATGCACAACAGTTGGAACCCGTTGCTTGGGGAAAGGACGAAATTAGTGTGTGAATGAATATGCGTGGTACTCTCTTGCTTGCGTAACGTCATTATGATTTTCTGAGGTTCGCGTAGTGTGCAGTCGCATAGGAAAAATACTAGAACGACTAAGCGCCTGGTGCCGATGCGAAACTCATGATAAGCTTGCAACGTTGGAACGGAGTTGTTCTGTCGGTACAGCGTCTGACTCAGAACCAGGTGGCCCCCGATCACTCGACTCTGTTCCTTCCGGGGTTGATAAATTACTACCACTATATGGAAGGAAACAGTAGACTACACATGCTTGCCATATACCTGCTGTAGACATTGAGCATTTCTGGCTAATGGCATGGAGATGAAGATCAGCGCCTCATTATTAGCTTTATGAAAAAAAAGGGGCCAGAAATGACCCATCATGATGGTGTAAGAACGCCCGACATTCAAACGGTTACAACACAGTTTCCTCCTTTGCAGCGTTGTACTTATGGGCTTCCAGCGAGATTCTGAGTTCAACTCAAGCCAGCAGTGTGTGGCTTACAGTGCCGTTTAACGGTAGCCTTTATTTTCTGCCGAATATTCAGCCGTTATGCGACGATCGCCGTTCTACTTTTATGATTTGTTAGTGCCGAACCTGAACTCCGACTTACGTAGATACGTGATCATCATTAGCCTTTTTCCATCCACCAGTGGATGAAAGCCGCTCAAAGACTGCCACAAAGCTCTTTCTGCTAAGATTCATATCCATGTTGCTTGAAAAAATA